CATCTTTTCACCTCATGTCTGTCTAACAATTCTACTAAGAGCTAAGTTCTTAAATCAGTGCTGCCTTCCCTGTATTCTGAAAGCCTATGTCCATGTGGAGGTATCTGTATGTGTGTATAAAACCCCTTAGAAACAGAAGGCAGTTGTGCTGCTGCCTCTTAAGACCAGCTTTTTCTCAGCTGTTTTCTCTTTGTTGCCTTTTTGAAGGAGATCAGTAACAGCAAAACCTACCCCTTAAGTAGTTACTATTGTTCTAAAGAGCTGAGAAGAGAGCTGTGTCACCTTTGTAAAGAAATTTAGTGACTGGTAGCAGGGAGGGAAAGAGAAAAACTAAATTCGATGGGATTTAGGAACTCCACCACTTTCCAATCTCTTCTCTGTTGTTGATATCTGATGGCCTGGATACTATTTTAACCTTTTGCACTTGCTTGCTTTTTTCTCAATTCCTTTATTCTACTCGGGATTTAATTTTTTTAATACCCCAGATTTTACAAAGCGCAGCAATAGAATAAAAAACTGGAGTTTCTTTTCATACAACCTTATTTATTTGGATTTTTTTATATTTCAAATTATTGATACATTCAAAGAGTAATTTTAATCTCTGTAATTTTTCATGGTGTGATATTTTTTGAAACATTCACCCACATGAAGACCTGGTTTACATTTACATTTTTTGTGACTATAAATCGTCTCTCTTCTTCCTCCTTTGATTTTTCTGTTAGAACAAACAACACAATCTTTGTGTTTTTTGTTAGGGTGAGGTGAGATTATATGGAGCTTTCCATCTAAACGTTGCTCTAAGTTAGTGGATAATAATCTACCCCTGGAAGTTAGTGTTCCATTTCTGCATTTACATTTTACTTGTCCTTTCATGCTAATGAAAACAAGAAAAGATACTGGAAAAATAGACAAAAATCCCCGTTTCCCCCGTGGTGAAACTACCTGTCGAGTGTGGCTCGACATACGAGCCACTACCGATGCTAACCGTGTCGAGTCACACTCGACATCTGAGTGCAAAGGGTTAAAGTATCCTCTGTTTTTAAAATATTTTGAGGAGGAGGCTGGATAAATAACTCTCATATTCTACTAGTATGTGTGGTTATTGGATGTTTAATTGATGTTTGCTTCTGTTAGGAGCTTGGGGCTTGTTTTGAAGATGTTTGTTAACTGAGAGTATATAGAAGGCTTTTCCTTGTTACTGTTTACCTCTAAGTGATTGTCATTCCACTACCACACAGTTTCTTCTCTAGAATGACAGGCATTCAGAGTACCTAAAGAGATCTGCTAATTAAAAATTGTTCTCTAAAAGCTACTCTATAATCAGCTAAGCATACTGCAAAGAAAACACTCTTAATCTCAAGCAGTCCAGGATGAAACAGGGGTTATGCTGATTATGAACATTGACTTCCACAGAGTAGTTACTAATGAATTATTGTATATTAATACTAATGTTCAAAAATTAATTACACTACAAATGTTGAGAAATAAATTTCACTTCAAAAGTTGTTGATATCTAATTGATTTACTACTTCCTTTTTTTTTTTTTTTTTTTGAGAACAACTCCACTCTGTTGCCCAGGCTAGCGTGCTGTGGCATCAGCCTAGCTCACAACAACCTCAAACTCCTGGGCTCAAGCAATCATCCTCCCTAAGCCTCCTGAGTAGCTGGGACTACAGGCATGTGCCCAGCTGATTTTTTCTATATATTTTAGTGGCCAATTTTTTTCTTTTGTTCTTCTTTCTTTTCTCTTTCTGTCTTTTTTTTTTTTTTGACAGAGTTTCACTCTGTTGCCCGGGCTAGAGTGCCCTGGTGTCAGCTTAGCTCACAGCAACCTCAAACTCCTGGGCTCAAGCAATCCTTCTGTCTCAGCCTCCTGAGTAGCTGGGACTACAGGCATGCGCCACCATGCCCGGCTAATTTTTTCTATATATATATATATTTTTAGTTGTCCAATTAATTTCTTTCTATTTTTAGTAGAGACGGGGTCTCACTCTTGCTTGGAGCTGATCTCAAACTCCTGACCTTGAGCGATCCTCCCGCCTCAGCCTCCTAGAGTGCTAGGATTACAGGCGTGAGCCCCTGCTCCTGGCCTACTACTTCCTTTTAAAACCTACTAAATGAACCAGAGACAAAGGATAGTTTTTCCTACAGAGATTTGGAATCTGCCTAGTCATTAAGTGATAGTAGCTCAACATTAGTTATATTAATTTGTATTTTTGGATCACCTTTCTTCCCTGCCCCTTAATGCCCTTTGTAGTTGTTTCTGGAAGTGAGCTGTTAATGCAAAAATTTAAATTTTTATTACTAAATCATTTCATAGCTGTTCTTTGCTCTAGTTGTCTTGAGAGTCTAGGTATATGAACCATTTAGACACACACACTCTTTTTTCTTTTTCTTTCTTTCTTTCTTTTTTTTTTGAGACAAGATGTCACTTTGTTGTCCTTGCTAGAATGCAGTGGCATCATCATAGCTCACTGCAACCTCAAACTCCTGGACTCAAGTGATCCTCCTGCCTCAGCCTCCTGTGTAGGTGCCATAGGCATGTGCCACCATACCTGGCCAATTTTTCTATTTTTTTTTGTAGAGATGGGGCCTTGCTCTTGCTCAGGCTGGTCTTGAATTCCTGGCTTCAAGCAGTCCTCCCACCTTGGCCTTCCAAAATGTTAGCATTACAGGCCTGAGTTACTGCAACTAGCAATACACTCTTAATTCCCATTATTTTTTAACTCTAGGCAGTGCTAAACTAAAGTTCTAGTTTTCCAAAGCTCTAAATGATTCAGTTTGCTTCCTCTACTCTCACCTCTTTTTCTTTTCTGTTTTCTGTTCAGGAACAGATAGAAGTTTTGTTTCAAATTGTGTCCAAATCTTAATAAGAGATTTCAGTTCTGGAATAGTTTTTGTATTGAATAATTAGAGACTAGTATTTTAGTTTTTATTTTGGGAGATGGGAGGAATTTGAGGATGACTGGATTGTTGATGTAGTTGTCTGCAGCAGTTTTTCTTATAAAAGATTCTTTACCTTGTTCTCTTCTCCCATTTTCATTATAAAAAATTTGATACACAGAAAAATGGAAAGAATTGATCAGTGAATCTGCAAGTTAACATTTTGCTGTTATTTACTTTATCACGGAGTTGCCCATCTAGCCATCTCTTTACCATGTTATATGTGTGTGTGTGTTTTGTTTGTTTGTTTGTTTTTTTACCCTTAAGAAGGAATGAGGGTAAATTTATAGCTAATAGACAACAAGAGATAGACAGACAGACATACATAGTGCCTGAAATAGCAGGTTGACAAATGAGGGAGTGCAGATGAATGAATGAATAATCTGGGTAGGACATGCTTTTAGCTCTAGGATACAAAACCACAATTTCCACCTAAATTCCTGCTCTTGGGGGTTTACTGTTGGGTCAGGACATGAGGCCAAAGAAGAAAAACCGCTTTGCTAGGTAGCTCATATGCAGCCTTCAGTGAAGATTGTTAGTGTAGTCAGCATGAGTATTGGAGTTCAGAAGAAGGAATATGATTCCAGAAGCCTGGAGAAGTTGGCAAAGGCTTCTTGGAAGAAATGGAACTGGAACCGGGCTAAGACAGAAGAGCCTGAGAGCACACATGGCCACATGGGCATTCTGCATTGTGGGGAATCTGAGGTTCTCCATGTACTTGGGAAGAGTGACAGTGTCATAAAGAGCAAGTGCCCACTGGAAGTCCTTCATTCAAGTGATTGGAGAGTGAACTATCCTCTTTTTGTGCTCCAAGGCTGGATTCTCCTTGCTTCAGGCAGGATCAATTTCTTATTTCCTGAGTATTCCCAGTCACTGTCATTCCAGGACTCTGCCCTTGGTGCTCATTCTGCCCAGAATACATTCCCTCCAGATATCTATATGGCTTCTTTGCTTTCTGCTGGCCTCTGCTCAGTGAGAACTTCCCTGGCACTGCTATATAAAATAGCATCTCCTCCTGGCCCACATATGTCCTTATTACTCCTTAGCTATTTTGCTGTGCTTCTTGCTGTGTCCCCAAACCCTACAATAGCACCCTACAATAGTGATTATATATAGATCCTCCTCTACATACAGTGGGGTTACGTCCCATGAAACCCATTATAAATTAAAAATAATGTAAGTTGAAAATGCATTTAATTCACTTAACATACTGAACATCATAGCTTAGCCTAGTCTGCCTTAAATGTGCTCAGAACACTTACATTGTCTACAATTGGGCAACATTATCTGGCAACATAGTAAACTATAGAGTATCATGATCTCTTGGCTGACTGGGAGCTTCAGGTCCCTGCAGCTGCCCAGCATCGCCAGAGAATATAGTACTGTGTGTTACTACCCTGGGAAAAGATCAAAATTCAAAATCTGAAATACAGTTTCTACTGAATGTATGTCACTTCAGCACCATAATAAAGTCGAAAAATCATTAAAGTTAAACTACCATAAGTCGGGTACTATCTGTATACATATCTGTGTATATGTGTAGATAAGTATAGAGAGTTGGCATTAGGCAGGTGTCCTCAAACTACGGCCTGCCTAGCACATTTATCCAGCCCTCTGGGTGTTTTTGCTGCTACTGCCTGTCCTGCTTTGCAGCCGACTTGTCCCAGGCCCACAGTGCGCACTCTTCAATGGTCTGAGGACAGTGAACTGGCCCCCTGTTTAAAAAGTTTGAGGACCCTTGGTATTAGGAAACAGTTGATGCAGGAAAGAATGAACAAATGGGATTCTGAGGTGTATACTTTTTGTTGTTGTTTAGATATTAGATATACTTTAAGATATTTTCATGTGGAAGCAGCCAAGAGAAACTTGAGCTGGGCAGTCACCAAAACATGTCTCAGGACCACTGTACTCATAGGGAATGTTGAGATTTAGGTATGGTTAGTTTGCCTTGTTCAGAAAAGACCCAGGGTATTCATTTTCAGCATTTTTTTCTTTGAAAGATTTGTGCTTCTAAGTGAAATCCTTGGTGATTCTGATGTCCCTTGTCTTCCTCCTAGGACCCCTGCAGTGGACCATGAGTCGGTAATGCCCACTGAGGACCTCTGGGAGCCATGTCAGACGAATCCGTCTCAGGGAGCGATCCAGACCTGGACCCGGACGTGGAGCTGGAGGATGCGGAAGAGGAGGAGGAGGAGGAGGAGGTGGCAGTGGAGGAGCACAACAGGGATGATGAGGAAGACATGCTGGATGGTGAGTGGCTCTAGTGAGTGACAGAAGCTGCCTTATTTTTTCTTTTAATGGCATTTCTGCTGGGAGAGCATGGTGTTTCCAGTTGAATTTCTTAGGTGATCCATAGCAAGAAGACATAGAATGGGAACTCAGCAACAATGAACTCATATGCTCATTCCCAGGAAATGGATTGTTGTTCTTCCTTATCAGCCTTGTTTTAGTGCTGGAAGAACCCTTAGCCTGACTTTGACAGATGTATGGACTCAGGTCCAGAGATTTGAGAGGGGAGCATACCTGCCCAGTCAGTGGCAGAGTCCCTGTGGTAAGACTTCGCAGTCTGGGGGCCATGAACCCTTGCGGTAGTTGTGGAGGGATAACTGTAAGTGGTCTGTGAATTTTCTGAAATTATACTCAAAATTCTGCCAGTGTATATATGAAAGGTTTTCTGGGCAGAAATTCTCAGACAGGTCTATAACTTTAGAAAGTTTATTGCATCTTCAGCAGTGCTGCCTAGCCTCTCAGCCACTTCCAGTGACTGTAAACTGCTCCTTCTGGGAGGGGATCCCCTTTAGACCTCCCATTTCATGTGCTCAGCCCACCATTTCCTTTGGTCTCAGCTCCTTGAAGTGGCATTGGACTTTTTCTTTTAATCTTCAGTCTAATGTTTGGCCAGATGACCACAGGGCTTCTCAATTAATTCCAGCCTTTTATTTAAAGGATTTAGTTGTTTGTAAGCTTCCTACTGACTGAGGAATAGAATTTTTTTTCTTTTTTTCTTTTTTTCTTTTTTTAACTTTTTTTTTTTTTATTTCGGCATATTATGGGGGTACAGATTTTAAGGTTTCAATAAATGCCCATTTCCCCCCTCCCCCCGGAATAGAATTTTTATCTGTTCATAACAAACTACCCTAGTGGAACTGAACATTGCATTAGATCATCATTACTAGGATCTGAAGGAGCCTAGGAAAATGCACTCCTGTATTCTCCAGATTCCAGGAGGATGAGCATTGATCCTTATTCTTCGATAATGTTACTCTCTTCAGTTCTCCTTCATGCCAAGAGCTGTTATATGGCTTAGGAATCAATTTTCCTTCCTATATACTGCCCAGAAATCTCTGCTCCATTTCCACCTTAACTCTGGCAGGGAAATGACTATTTCCTTTTTTCCCCCTGACACAGCATTTGCTGTCCATTGCTAACTTATTCAGTTGGAGTTTCCTCCAAGCTGGTTCTATAGTTCATTTCTGTAAGTAGAAATAATGGGAGACAGTGACAATGTGAAGATACATCATCAGACTGTCTTGCTTGGCTCTCATTGTTCCTTGAAATGGTGATAAAGTCACTAGATGTCTATATCACATTTTGCTTTTCATCATTTGGGTTCTCAGAATTATATTTACAGATACCCCTAGAAGTCCTGTCAGGTTTAGATTGGATTTTAGATGTTTCTGGCTAGTATAATAGATTTGTACATACTGTGTCCTTTTTTTTTGAGACAGAATCTTGCTCTGTCACCGGGCTAGAGTGCTGTGGTGTCAGCCTAGCTTACAGCAACCTCAAACTCTTAGGCTCAAGCAATCCTCCTGCCTCAGCCTCCTGAGTGCGCCACCACGCCCAGCTAATTTTTTCTAGTTTTAGTTGCCTGGCTAATTTCTTTCTATTATTAGTAGAGATGCAGTCTCGAATGCCTGATCTCAAGCGATCCTCCTGCCTTGGCCTCCCAAAGTGCTACAGGTGTGAGCCACTGCACCGGGCCAAATTTTTCTATTTTTTGTAGAGATTAGGTCTTGCTATGTTGCTCAGGCTAGTCTTTGACTGATAGCCTCAAGAGATTCTCCATTCTCTGCCTCCCAAAGTGGTAGGATTATAGGCATGAGCCACTTCACCTAGCACAATTAGGGTTTCTAAAAAAGAATATCTACTCAATTCTCAGATTGAGTTATTTTTAAAACTTTCAAATGATTTGTTATTTCTCATGAAGTTCAGAGTGATGATAAATACACCATCAGGTACTGTGTTTTTCTCCTTTTCTGCTAGGATGCCTAATTTCTTGGAATTTGACTCAAGGACCATTTTTTTTTTTTTTTTTTTTAATTTTCCAACAAAGCCTCCAGATAACAAGGACCATTTTTATATTTCACTACTGTGTTAAAGCTATACACTCCCCACCCTGTTCCTAGAAATAAAAGTGATACTTGTGTTACTTGTGGCAACTCTGCCACTATTTTACCTGTTTATAGCTTTTCTGTTCCTCTCAACTTGAACACTTTATGCAATTTTGCTGAAAAATCTGAGACCTGCCTATTTCTTCAGTTTTGCTCTTTCTGTCTTTGGCTTGTTGTCATCTCTCAGTCCTAATGGGTAGAGCAGGCAGCTATTCTACGATTAGGAATTGCTATCAATGATCTAGTCTTAGCTGGTATAGTGTGATGTGGCCCTTTTGTTTTCTTAGAGCAGTGGCTCTCAACCTGGGATGATTTTGCATCCTATGGGGCAGTTCACAATGTGTAAAGGCATTTTTGGTCATCACCATTTCTGGGGGTGGAGTGAGGACACTACCGACATGTTGTGGGTAGAGACCTGGATGCTACAAAGTAGCCTAGAATGCACAGGACAGCCACACCCCCACTCCAGCAATTATCTGGCCCAAATGTCAATAGTGTTGAGGTTTGAGAAACCTTTTCAAAAAGGAAACTGTTATGCCAGCCCTTTTTATTTCAAATTTCACTTGTATTGGATAATAATAGCTTACTTTTATATTGTTTTTCATAGTTTACACAAACTTCTCAAGAATCTTACTATCCTTTTCAAAGAACTCTGTTTTTTGGCTTCAGTGATCCCATCTGTTGTGTTTGTTTTCTTTGTCATTTCTGCTTTATCATTTTCTTTCTTCTATTTTTGGAGGGTTTATTTTGCCTTTCTTTCAAACTTCTTTGTTTTTTTTTTTTTTTTTGAGACAGAGTCTTGCTCTGTTGCCTGGGCTGGAGTACAGTGGCATCATAATAGCTCACTGAAACCTCAAACTCCTGGGCTCAAGTGATCCCCCTGCCTCAGCCTCCCAAGTAGCTGGGACTACAGACACGTGCCCCTACAGGCACATGCCACCATGCCTGGCTAATTTTTCTATTTTTTGCAGAGAGGGGAGCTCACTCTTGCTCAGACTGGTCTTGAACTCCCGACCTCAAGCAATCATCTTGCCTTGGCCTCCCAGAGTGCTAGGATTACAGGTGTGAGCCACCATATCTGGCCATCAAACTTCTTAAGAATGTGCACAGCTCGTTAATTTTCATATTTGTTTTCTAATATAAGCATTTAAAGCTATAAATTTACCTCTAAGCTTCATCTCCATCCCCTCCTAAGCATTTTGACACAATTTATCTTACTGAATTTTCTTGATAATCTTGTGTGTTAGGTAGGGTAGATACGTTTTAGAGATGAGGAAACTGAGTTTCAGAAAAGTGAATGGCTTACTCAGTGTAGTTTAGCAAGAAAGTAACAAAGCTGGGCTTTGGTCTTCAGGCAATGCTCTTTTTCAAACATATTCTCCTTAGATTCTTATAACACCCTTGCCTGTGATGTGTTTGCTTTCTTTCCTAGTTTGTGCTTTGAGAGAGGTTGATTGCTGATACTGTTGAGCAGAGATGGAAGGACAGTTATAAGTAACAGTGTGAATACAGGCAAAATAGAAGGGAAAGCATGGAAAACACTAGAGAATCATGAACTGTCTTCTTTGATATAGCACTGAACAGATGAGGATGACCAGAGTGAGATTGGAAAGACGGCCTGTGGTTGTCAGATTACGGAGGAATTTAGAATTTGTTTTGAGGGCAGTATGGAATTGATAGAAGTTTTTTTAAAATTTTTTTAAATTTATTAATTTTTATTTTTAAAATTTTGATTTGTTCTCAGAAATGCATCATTAGGCAAGTTCATCATGCAAATAAGAGTATACTTACACAAACCTAGAAGGTATAACCTAGCATACTCATAGACTATATGGTATGAACTATTGCTCTTAGGCTACAAACCTGTACAGCATGTTACTGCACCTGAATACTGTAGGCCGATGGAAGTTTTTACTGAAGAGTATTCATCAGACCTTTGATTTTAGGTATGTTACTCTGGTAGTGCATAGAAGAGATGGCTTGTAGATAGGGAGGACCAATTAGATCTGTTAGAATTCTATAGGAAAGGGTAATACAGAGTTGATCTGCACAGGAGGAGTGGATGGTCAGACTTGTTGCATTGGAATTTATAGGACTTGATGACTTACTACATATGTAGGGGAGGTTGAAGAGGGAATGGGTAAAGCTTGGGAGGGTAATGAGCCCTTTACAAAGGTGGGAAAAACAGGATAGGAGAGTTAAAGTTATTTTTGGCTTTGCTGTAATAAGTTGGGGCATTGTCTCCCCCTTGATACTGACCTTTGAATGTTGACTAGTGGGATATTATTAATAGTCCAAGAACTGGCTATGATAGAGCATGGAGGTTTGGCTATTGGAGAACAGCACCATGACTTTGTTTTCAGAACAACCTGCAAATGAGGAGAAGATTTTTAGTTCAAAACCAGCTGAGCAGAGAGAGCCCGTCTCTACTATAAATAGAAAGAAAATTAATTGGCAACTGATATATATATATAAAAAAAAAAAATTAGCCGGCATGGTGGCACATGCCTGTAGTCCCAGCTACGTGGGAGGCTGAGGCAGGAGGATTGCTTGAGCCCAGGAGTTTGAGGTTGCTGTGAGCTAGGCTGACGCACGGCACTCACTCTAGCCTGGGCAACAAAGCGACACTCTGTCTCA